CCACGGGGCGCGTCCAAGGGGTCATGGGGCATGGTTGGAAAGCCGCCCACAATAACAACAACAACCCAGTATAATCTCACTAGTGGGGTCTGGGGAGGGTAATATGTACGCAGACCTTACCCCTACCCTGAGGTAGAGAGTCTGTTTCCGATAGACCCTCGGCTCCCTCCCTCCAAGAACTCACCATCTTGCTCTTGGGGTGACTCGAACTCACAACCTCTTGGTTGGAAGTGGAGGGTGCTCACCACTAGAGCAACCCATTCTTGTCATTGAGAAGAACTAGAGGGTATTAGAAAAAAACAAACAAGAAACTGGGAAAGCATTGCTAAAGAGATTGTCTATGTTTATAATGTTAGAGCACCTATTAGTAGAAGTATGTGACAATTAGAGGCGGGTTGAGCCGATTTTTGGGCGGGTCAAAATGGGTTGAGTTAATATATGGGCGGGTCAGTTACTTGTGCTGAGATAAGTTAGGTCAAGATGGACTAAAATTTGGATCATAGCCTAACCCGCCCAATACTTACCAAGCTTTAATTAATATGTATTGTTTTCTTATGATCATATATAACATATCAAACCAAAAAAAAAATTCTAAAATATTTTGATAAAATAACTCATGGATCAATTTGGACTAAAAATTAACCCAACTTTAAATGGGTTGAGATAAGTTGGGTCAAGATGAGTTAAGTTTAATAAATGGGTGGGTTAATAATCAGCTCAACCTGTGGGTCATTTGGGCTTGGGCCAAATTTGACAGCGCTATTTACAATCTTTATTTTTCTAGTTTTAGTCCTTTACAGGTTATAGTTCTGTGTTATGCTGAGCTATTGTTTTGTATATCTTACTTGGTGATTAATAAAATGATCAGTACGAAAAAAAAAAACGCTTCTATGGTTGGGGTTTCAATTATCGGATTCTTGAACTTCCGTTAAAATATATGAGATTGGCCATAACAAACTCCAACATAACTTCCTTCTACTGAACTAAAAGAAGCCAGTCAAGAAAAGAACAAGAGTATTCCCAAGGAACAACAAAAAACTCATATGATAATTTAAGCAAAATCAAGACAGAAGGCAGAAGTAAAAACCAACAAAAAGAGAAGGTTCAACATCAAATAAGAAGAATAAACACAGAACAGTTGGGATGAGAGAAAGAGTAAATACCCCTAACTTATAATGATGTGTTGGTAGTCGCATCTACGCCAAAGGGACTAAGCAGAAAGGAATAAAGATTGCACAGATAGCTTGGTTCAATACCAATGCTGATGACAATGCACAGTAAAACAAGGTTGCAGCAAAGATAAAGCAGACCAAGAAAATGAAGAGAATAAGGAGTAAAAAGATACAGATGAAGAAAATGATGACTACAAGGATGGAAAATATGATGAAGAGAATCGAATTGAAGCTGAAAGGATAACAATTCTGGAAACATGACTACTTGGAGAAAGTTGATTATGAGGAAAACTCATATATTTATGTAGAAATGTAGCTTATCTCCAAGTGAGAAGGGTCCAGAACCAGTAGAGTATTCATGTGAAAAAGTAGAACCTAAAAGTCTCACAAAGTCACCTCCTAGGCTCTTATAACCAAATAGAAGGAACAATCTCAAACATAAACTTAGTTATCTTCACTATGATTAATCTCATACAGAATATAGGTAATGAAAATAAAAGGCACCTGCTATACTCTTTTGCTCGGTATTTATCAAGAAAGCTGTGTTCCACAAACTTTTACAATCCCGAGAAGCTGTTCTAGCCAACTCAAATCTGCCGGATAGATGAAGATTTCAGGAAGATCAAACAGAAAGATCTAACTAAACATTGTAAATCAAAACTGCTACGAATTAATCGAGGTAAAAAGACAATACCTTCCTTTAAGAAAAAAGCCAAAACAAGGGAATCATCTCCAATCATAAAACTTTGAGGCTATTTGACAAGGGTTGCAAAACACAATATTTAATTTGCTTAGTTATGAAAGATATGGTTTTTGGATCTGCCAATCTCAGTGGATCACCAAAAGTTGAAAAACATTTCAACCACAGGTACAACATATAGAGTGCAACAAGTAACTGCTTCATCAGACACCAAGCATCCATAATACGTGCCATGGTGGTAAGATCACAAAAAGAAACATTTTACTTACATAGACAAGTTAAAAACTCATAAGTTCACCAGCAGAAAAATCAAAAGATAAACTATTATGCGCAATTTCTGGTGTACCGAGAAACAAAACCACTTGCATCCTGCTCATGGAAAATCACGACTCATGGAAACTCATCATAAAATTGGTGGAGGGTCTTGGGCAACCTAACAATTTCGCAGCCAATCCTGACGAATATGGGGATACACAATTCCTTGAACACAAGCTGCAGCGTGTTCTCTTTACCATGATAACAAACGTCTCCAGAACCATTGCATTTTTTAGCAGAAATTTTGAAAGTTCAAAGAGCCTATCATGCCTCGCCGTCCGACACATCCCAATGAAAATGGGGCAGATAATATTAACACTCTTGAGATTGGGAAATACAGAGTTTGAAATCCAACTCTCCAGATCGATATTATCTCCTTGGCGCAAATAACTTGACTCATAGCGGCATTGCACAAAATTAACCTGTATATAAACAATATAATCTAGATCAAATACAGGTTAAAATTCATGATAAATCTGTCCCACATATTCAAAACCCACGGATTTGGTTCTTCACAAATAATTAATAGCAAATTCCTATCTATAAGACTCATTGAGAAGGTAAACCAAGCAAACAATGAAAGATGTATTTGCATTCTCCTCTAGAAAACTCAGTATGGAGAGGAAAGAGGGTGCGATAAATCATCAAAATATGAATGAATGTACGAAGAAGAGCAAAAGATGTGGGAAGTTACTTCAACGTCCATGTGTATGTTGAGTGTCTCCAAATGAGGCGAGGCCCGCAAAAGGCTTGCTACTCCATACAAATTATACTTCGTTATGTGCAACTTCAGTGTTAGACATTTGCATTTCAATTCTGGAAGCTGCGCTCCATCAAGCTGCATCATGAACAGAACCTGGTGCAGTAATCCCAAGGAAACTAGTCAAGAACAGAAAAATAGAAACAATAAAAAAAATATACATCACAGATAAAGTTTTTACGGCTCTATGACAAAAGTAAATATCTAAACCTTTAGACATCAATATCAAAATGCTAATTTCCAAAATTTATCTTTTGCCCGTACGACAATAGAAATACCTGATTTAAAAGTTGACAGAAAACTTACATAAAATGACAAAAAGGTGAAAGATTCTTTTGTCACAGAAATTTTCATGTGTATAAAAGCTTTCAATTACTCCACACCGCATCCTGCAACTGTTTGCTAAAAACCAAATAGAGCAACTATAAAGTAATTTTGATTGAGTAACAAACCTCTGCAAACCAAGTCCCAATTGTTAGCTCATTTACATGTCTCAACTTTTGAAGATAATCTTGAACAAGGGTCCAAAAAAACCCGATGGTAATCACGACAACTGTTATCCTGGATCTCACATCTGATATCAAAAGTAAGCTCAGCACTGACCAAGGAAGACACATTTACTAGCCTACACTTAAAATCATCAAGGTGTTCTGAAATCACCAAATGCTGAAGATATGGAGCAACAATTTCCAATGAATGATCACCTCCATACAGCTGCCAAAAGTTGTGCAACTTCAGTGTCTTCAAATTTATATTTTTAATTTCCAGATGCTGAAAACCATGGAAATAAGTCAGTTCCATAGTTTCTAAAGAATGACAACCTGTTAATAACTTCACAATCGCTTCATCGTCTAACTCCACTGTCATAAACTTCACCGTCTTCAGAGATTTCCACGATATAACAACTCCCTTATCAAAGGCACAATTACGTAAACCCAATGTTACCAATGACGAGCAAGTGTAAAATGATTGAGGCAATATGTACACCTTAAAAAAGGTTGAGTTCAATACAACATGTTCCACTTTACTATTTATAACATAAGTAAGCCACTGATCGATATGCAAGCTGTAACTAAGCATGTCCCAGCAGTCGAGATAAAATTTTCTTATTTTCGAAGAAATACGTTGAGCAAATGCGTAGTCTACGAAGGGTACGCATATTTCTGCTTCTGATGGAGAATCACAAAGTAAAGTGAGATTATCAATAGAAGTCCAGAGGTACTGCCACCGTTTTGAGACAAGACATGTCCTGACAGCATTCTTCGTCGACGGCAAAAGAGAGATAATTCGAGCGAGGAGCGACTCTGGCAACTTGTTGATTCGGTCTAGGGCTCCATCATCTTCGGCGATTGTCTCCATTAACTTCGGTTTCTTCATCACTGTGGTGTGCTCTCCTTGGGTTTTTTCCACTGGTTCTTTAATGATCTGCAGATTTGTTTGGGAAATGAGCATTTGAGTCTATGTAAATAAGAAACACATGAGCCATGGATTTGAGGGAGATCAGTGGTGGAGATGACATCTCTACTGTACGGCTACGATTGAGATGATTAACGACCTAGATTTTATAACTGGTCCTAATAACTTTGAATCCAGAGTTTTACTTATACTAGTTTTTAATGCAAAAAGTCAAACATCCAAATAGAACTAATCCCTGCATTATTATCCTGCATAACTAATCCTAGAACCAAACAACCCCTTAGAGAATAGAGGTACTAAGTATTTCTCGCTCATTTTGAGTTCCTGATCGAGCTGCCAAAATTTATGAGACTTGATTATTTTCCATATCAGGAAGAGTGTTATTTATGTCATGCCAATTCGTTGACTTGTTTTTCTGCCATTCCTAGAAGAAGAGAAAGAACACTGAGTACTCCACTTTGCCAAGTATTCCTACATTGTTAAACAATAGTTGGAATTTTTCTTGGAATATCATGGCAAATTCTGAATAATAAGTGGGAAAATTAAATCTGTTTGATCCATGTGTAATGTTCTACCAGCTGATACTTTCACAAGATCATAAAGCTAATATAACTATATTAGAGGCTATTTCCAAGGCTGTAACCGAAGAATTCAAATGGTAATCAAGCTTCATAAGCTGAAAATTTTGCTAACAGAGAATTTATTTTTTGAATCATAGATACTTAATTAAGGGAACTGACCTTTTATATTTTCTTTGATAAGTGTTGGTTCTCTCTCTCTCTCTCTCTTGGGAATTATATCAAACACGTTGCATAACAAAACTAAATTCCCACATTTCGAATAGAAAGTAGTCAATGACAATTTGGTATTCTGGTTTTATTTTTGAGTACCAATTCCACTTCCAATAATCTTCTCAATATGCAACTTTTTATCTATTTTTATATGTGCATGTTCAGCTCAGATACAATAGTACTAATGATATGGATGTACAAAACCCAGCAAGAAAAACTATCTAAACAACTATATATGTGTGATCTTACGCGCCAATTAAATCTTGACACGTGTCATAACTCAAGGAAAAAAAACTTAATTTCCACCCTTATTAATATTTTTTTCTTTAAAAAAAACAAAAATAATCAAATGACCCCTCCTCAACCCGTCTCTCTATCTTTCCCTACCCTACTCTTAGTCAACTTTTCCATTAAATTTTTTTCCTCCACTAAAATCCACCGGAATAATCCCCAAATCATAGGTCCTCCATTATCCTCTCATTTCACATCCAACAGCTGCCCAACTCCTCTCTCACCACTACTAGCCACCAAACAACTCGACACCGGTCGGAGTTGCCGTCTGGCTAGCCAAAATCGCTCCCTTGCCAATTCCAGATAATCGGATCGGGAGGAAACTCGCCGAAGAATGGTCAGATCTTGGCCGGTTCTGCCGAATTTGACAGGAAACGGAGCTTCTCCATCGTTTTTTTATTTTTTATTTTTGTGTCTCTTCTTCTCACCTTTTTGTTTCATCTGAAATGTTGACCGGAAAATTAAAAACTCCGGCGACCCATAGTTTTGATGTCGTTTGTTCGTTTCACGGTTGACCATCGGAGCTCCAGCGATTGCCAACTTGCTTATGTTATCGACTGAGATCTTCACATAATACCTTGCTTACATCTTCAACTTGAACAAATCCTTTCTTTAACAATCTGCCAACTGTTAATTTGTGGAAATATTAGTGTAATTATAGGTATTAATCATCATTAGTGTGGTATAAACAGGAGAAGGTAAAGAATATAAAGAGTAAACGTCATCCTTGTAGCTGAAATGACTCTAAAATTTTTAAAAATAAAAAAGGCTGGATATGTGGCATTTTGATAAAATTTAACTTCACTCGCCTCTTTTTGTGTAAAACACGCACGCCAGCTGTTAAAAATAGTGTCTTAGACACACTTTTAAAAGATTGAGTGTGTAAGATGATTTTTGTCCGTAAAAAGTATGTAACAAGGATTTGGTCCATAGTTCAGGGGTAACTTATGTATTTTGCCTACAAATTAAGGTAAAGTGAGAAAAAGCTCAAAATAATCCGGTACCTTTGGACTTGGACTCAAAGTAATCCTATTTCTTTCGGGTAGAGCAATAATAGTCCACATTTTTTGAGAAAGTGGTGCATTTTAAGTCTCAAACCTAACCACTGTGAGTCCTTTAACAGAACAAAAGTTATCACGTGTGCCTCATATATTTCCCTCCAAACTCAAACTCTTGTTGTTGCAACATCCTTTGGGCTTCTCTTCTTGTGAAACGATCAAACTGCAAATAAGTTTCTCTTCTTTGTTTCTTATCTTCAAAAACACCCTAGAGTAACATACATCATATTCCCTTAAATAGCATAATAACACCGTGAAAGTAACAATGTCTTTAAGGAGATACATTGACAGAGAATCGACTCCAATTTATGGTTAGTTTTTCTTTACTTTTATCGAACCCCTTCCCACAAAAAAATTCTATACAATAAGCATGTTTCTGAATATGTAAAGAGAACTCTTTGTTCAGAAAAAACATCTTTGCAACTTTGTTGTTGTTTAAAAAAAATATGACTTGAATCCACGGCCTAAAATCTGGACGTTTTCTATATATACTACTGTTAAAGTCTTATTGAATATGTATTATTTTTGTTAATTATATCACAATATATTTTTTGTAATTTCAGAAGCGATAACCAAGGCATCATTTGTCAGTATCAAAATATACCATGGAGGAATTATGAAACGTATGCTAGAAAAGTATTATGTTGGGGGCAACATCGACTATATTGATTATGTTAACGTGGAAAAAATGAACCTTGATGAGTTCAAGAACATGGCAGCAATTTGTGAATATTTAAAGGATTTAATAACTTTTTGGCATAGGTATGGAAGATCTAGTAATAGATGGAGGTTGGTATCTACAGATAATGAAGCATATGCAGTTGGCAGAAACATCCCGAATGACAATGTGATTGAGATTTACTTCGAACACTTGGACTCATATTTCAGTATAGAAAATATAGATTCGGTATATAAATCAAATGCTAGAGATAATGACAAACATCAATTTGTGCGGGAAAATTCATCTAGTGATGATTTTAGTGACTCCGAAGATGATTTGTCTGATGATCTACTTGTTGATAAACATGAAAAAATTATAGAAAGCATTATAGATGAAAGTGAGATTCTTAGTGTCGAAGTGAAGAGAAAGATGGTCGCTCCAGAAGGGGAATCTGACTTTATTGATTCTGCAGACACAAAAAGTTTGCATAGCGATTCCGAGACTGAGGAATCCAATTTTCCTCACTTCAACCCACATACAGATAGAGATAAGCCGATTTTTGCTCTGGAATGTACTTTTGCAAGCAAGCAAGATTTTAAGAATGCAGTAGCTACTCATAAGATTAACAATGGAAAGTATATTAAGTGGAAGAAAAATGACAAAGAAAGAATGAAGGTTGTTTGTATACATCCGGAGTGCGAATGGGAAATCATGGCATATAAAATGCAAAGGGACACGACGCTTCAGATTAGGAAGTACAAACCTACACATACTTGCAAGGAGTGGAATTATGAAAATAGAAAAATAACATCATCCTTCATTGCAAGAAAATACCTCAAAGAAATTAAATCAAACAGCGGTTGGAGATTACTTGAGTTCAGAGATAGGGTGAGTTTAGATCTACGAGTTAAAGTGACTTTATCTCAAGCCAAAAGAGCTAAGATGAAAGCTATTGCGTTGATTGATAGTGATATTAAGGATCAATATAAAATAATGTGGGATTATTGCATTGAAATTGATAGGACAAATCCAGGCAGTACAGTTCACATGAAGTTTACTGATAATAAGGTACCAAACAAGCCATATAGATTTTAGAGAATATACATCTGTTTTGTTGCTTGTAAGAAAGGTTACAAGGCTGGATGTAGAAAGATAATAGGTGTTGACGGTTGTTGGTTGAAAGGTCCAATGTATGGGACACAATTGTTATCTGCAGTCGGAATTGATGATAATAATAACATATTTCCCATTGCCTACGCGATTGTTGAGAAAGAAAGTAGAGAGACATGGGTGTAGTTTTTGAACTATTTGGCAGCTGATTTAGATATAGATGAGAGTGGTTGGGCCTTTATGTCTGACAAACAAAAAGATCTTATATTGAAGCTTTTAATAAAGTTTTACCATATGTTAGCCATAGATTTTGTGCGAGGCACCTTTATAACAATTTTAAGAGAGCTGGTTTTAGTGGGTTCACATTAAAAAAAGTATTTTGGGCTGCTGCAAAGGCTGCTACTGTGGAAGAATTTGATGCTCGCATGTTACGGATGACAGAGTTAGATACGAATGTTGTTGCTTGGCTCAATGACAAAGAACCTAGCAAATGGTCAAGGTCACATTTTTCTTCAGATGCCAAGTGTGATATTTTATTAAATAACTTGTGTGAAGTATTTAATAGCATGATCCTTGATGCTTGACACTTCTGAAGAAATTGCGGTATCTGCTCATGGCTAGAATGCTAGCTAATAGGGAGAAAGCGCAGAAATGGAGTTTGGGTGATGTTTGTCCAAATATTAAGGACATATTGCACAAAAATCAGACTGCAGCCGGTGATTATATCCCTCAAAAATCTAATAAGTGGACTTATGAGATTATAGGAGCTACTATTCGTGACAATTGGGCAGTTGATTTGAAGAATCAAACATGTAGCTATAGAAAATGGAGTATCATGGGAATTTCTTGCAAGCATGCTATTGCAGCCATTTGGGCTAAGAAGGATGACATTCTTGACTACGTGGATGACTGCTACAAAGTAGAAACGTACAGAAGAATTTATGAATATGCAATTCTTCCGATAAATGGGCCACAATTGTGGGCTAAATCAACTAAAATTCCTTCTTGGCCTCCAGAAGAAGTAGCAGTTGAAATAGATTTTGGTTGGATATACTCTCAACAGACACAATAAAATTAAATGGATTGCTGATAAATTAGTTTTTTCTAGTGCTAATATGTGTTTACTGTTAATGGTAGCTTATCCTTATTTCAAGTGCTTATCTGTGCATTTTTCAGGGTTTGCTATCAGCTTCTTTGGTGCTGCTACTATGTTGCTTTCCGATATTTGGTGATGTAGTACTGCTAATGAATTGTAGTTTCATGTGGTACTATTCTGCTGTATTTTCAAGTGCTCGTGTTTCAAATGACGTTGTTACTGTTCTGCTTTTCTTTTTTGGTGTTGGGGTGGTGCTACTGTGCTGCGCTGTTTGAAATTTCTGCTATAGATAAAGTTTTCTTATTGTGATTGCCAAAAATATTTCAGTGTTCAGGATACTATCACAGATAAGGTGACTTCTTTTGAGTTAATTAAAATGGACTGTGAGTTGATAAAAATGTTGTAAGTTATTACGCAAAATAGTAGTAACTGTTTG